TAAACAGGGAGCAAACCCCACACTTACTAGCACTGATGATATTACCTAGTTGGGTAATGAAATGTCTGCAAGTAAACAACCAAGCTCAGAGAGCACTAAGGATTCTACAATTCAACCCTGAGCTACATATATTCTCTTCTATTGGATTTCTTTAAAAACCATTGCTAGTTTGTTGAAGAGAATAACATAGGGCCTATTATTTTTCAAAATTCATCATAACTTTTCGGGGCTAGCACTGGAGTAAATGCAGCACAGAGATGAGCACAGCATAAGAACAAAATTTGTGCAATATTATGTTTGGCCATATATAATGGGTTTGCCCTGGAAACCATGACTTATTTGGCCATTCAACTTGGCTTTCCCTGTCTTTTTCTTTTGATTCTATGCTGCTCCACCAGCCTTATAATCTTTCTTTATTTCCTCAACCCCAGTCTGGTAGCTACCATTCAGTCAACACTAGAAGTAGCAGTGCATATGCTTTAATTTGGATTTTTGCATGCAGCAAGAATTTCAATCTCATGGTCTGTGTAACTGCTTCCAATTCTATGACCTGGATCTCTGAATTGGAGGATGGTGCTGTCACTTTCAGACCACTGTTTATCTAATAACATATTCAGGCCTAATTTGGCCCTTATAAAAATTGTGAGTTTCTTCTAATTACTCAGTCTAAACTCTTGCTCACAGGCTGATTTTCTGAATTTCTACTGAACTATCAGACCGCCTTCTCTCTTGTCCACCAGTCATGATCCCATGCATTTGAACAAGGCAATCTGCGTGCTATAAAATGTGGCAAAGCTCAATGTATTCAAAAACATAAATAGCCTTTTTTCATTCCACCTCGCCAAGTAAAGATGCCAGAAAGTTAATTTCAGTCTGGCATAAAACTAGTTTTGTATTGTTTTTCTTTTGGCTGTGTCTTATTCTTGCAGTTGAGAAGACTGCAAGAGTCATTAACTTGTGTCAGTTGTGAAGGACTCACACAGCTCTTGGATCAAAACCTTCTTCACTCTGTAGACTAGGCTTCTCCTCTTCCAAAGGAAGTTCTGCATCTCCCCATGCATTGGGAGAGGTTTGTCTTTTCACCATTCCTCTGTCCAAGGTATGGTCTGATATAGGAGGGCTTGGTGTAGCTACTATGGGTGTTGCCGTAGGGGTAACCACAGGTGTATGAACTGGACTGACAACTGCTGCTTCAGATCCTGCATGTATTGGGGGGGAAAAGAGAAAAGGAATGCAAGGTCAGATTATATTGTTATCTATATTTTTTTTCTTAATGCCAGAAGAAAAACCTAACCTCAATAGCCAGGAGCCACTCAAGATCAAACTTCTCCTTTCAGGTTATGATGATTATTTGCACTGAAATTATAATAATGCTGAGAAGCTTTTCATAGAGAGGAGCTACCAGAGGGATATAGAAGAAAATGAAGAGAATGGGAAACTTAAGGCAAGTTAGCATCAGATCCAAACCTCAATTTCTTTCATTTGACTATCAAAAAAGAAAAGGGCTTGCTAACCTCTCCATAAGACGTCAAATGTTGGCAGAGGTCTGCCCACACATACAGCAGTTTTTCATGCCCACTGTTACATGTCTCAGCAGGGAAGGAAAGAGCTGAGATGCAAACAGGAACTCTGAGAGAAATTCTGCTCCTGCTGCTGTTGAAATTCTATGTAGCACACAAAGCAAAGTTCTTTTTGCTAGCACCCTGAACCACAGGGAGGGAATCCATGGAGTTATCCCATCTTGTAGGAGCCTCCTTCCTTGTTCAGTTCAACCATGGATCCTACACAAAGCTACTGGATGTCGGCTGGGCATCTAGGAAATTGCAATTGGGGACAAGAACTATTTAAGCTATGTTCTTCAGATATACAAGAGGACTGCATGATATAATATAAATTGGCACAGAAAATTGGGGGATGAAAAAGTGTGCAGATTCCCCAGTGAACTTTGAGTGATTAAAATCATGTTTTGTGGAAAGATAACATGAAACCTCACTAATAAGAAAGCTCTTCAAAAAAGAAAAAAGAATCATGTTTCAAAACAAAGATGGTTACATATAAATCAAAAGCTCCTTTTCTAGTCTGGAAATCTGTATTTTTACCTATTGCACCCATCATTTGTTGGTCACCCACATCTTCATCCACCTCGGTAATAGACAGAGAGGACTCTGGAGTTTTTACTGCAAAGAATTGTTTCACAGGTGGTGGTGACTGAGGTGGTGTGGATTCAGGTGTGACCAATGGAGTAAGTAATATGGTTTCCTGAAACGGAAAAAATACACACACATAGAAAATACTAAAGTTATTAAAAAAACATCCCCCTTGCTACTGCTTTTAACTCATCTCTGCTAAAGCATTAATTTTGGTTGAGATTTATCTAGCCAATCTATTGATAATCAGTCCTCAACTAAATGAGTCTAATGCTTGGTATTCCAAGAAGGGAAAGCTTATTAAAGCACAAATATTTCTCTTATTAAGGTGTATTACTGTCAATGACAATGTTAATTTAATGCATTTGATTCTTTGGATTGGGCACAAAACCAAATCAGAAATAATTCTGGATTTGGAGTTCAAATATAAAATGTCACGTTTAAAGCAAGCCAAGTTATAGTTTCAAACTAAGGCTTGTCGCCTACTGGGATTTTATATGCCCCCAAATATTATAAGTAGATTAAACAAATCTTAGCTTGCTGCCCAAACCACTGTCTGACCAAAAAAAATATACAAAGGCCAGTAATCTTCTCAAGGCCTTATAGAAGGGAGAAACAGAATGGCCACTGATTCAACTGATCCTTGTGGTGTTGTGGTACTGGGTGATCATTTCTGTACATCTTGCCAGCTATGCTGTGTAGTGCTACAAGGTAGCATTCTATCTCCAGTGCTATTTAACATCTATATGAAACCAACGGAGATGGTCATCCAAGATTTTGGAGGTTGGCAGATGACCTTCATCTCCACTCAGTAACATCTGAATCAGAAGAGGCTATGCATGTCCTGAAATAGTGACTATATGAGGTGGATGAAAATTACTACACTGAGACTGAATCCCAACAAGACAAAGACTTTCTGGGTTTGAGAACTGGGAAATTTACCTGCTAAAAATGGGATCACACTCCCTCAGAAAGAACTGATGCCTATGTCAGGAGTGCACCTAGGGACATCAACATTGGAAGCCCAAGTGACTTCCACAGCTAGGAATGCCTATTGCCAGCTTTGGTCGATATTCTGAGTATAGTCATTCCTGGATCCTTACTACAGTTGTTAATGCACAGATAATGTCAGATTACTATAATGCACTTTAAGCTGAGCTACTATTGTGCTTGGTCTGAAAGCTACAGTTGATGCAATATGTGGCAACCAGGTGGCTGAATGGGGCACCTGGCATGCACACATTACTGCCTTGTTGAAGCAACTGCCCTGACTGCCAATTACCTATCAAGCCTGATTCAAGGTTTTAGTTATGCCATATAAGGTCCTAAACCAGTGTTGTCCAGACTTGGCCACTTTAAGATGAGTGGACTTCAACTCCCAGAATGGCTGGCTGGGGAATTCTGGGAGTTGAAGTCCACTCATCTTAAAGTGGCCAAGTTTGGGCAACACTGTCCTAAACCATTCAGGATCTGGATATCTGAAAGATCGCCTTCTCCATTCTTGACCTAGTCTCTGAAATCATCAGGGGAGAGTATTACCACATGTACGGAGAGTTGAACACCAGCCATTTACAAGCAGGCCTTCTTTGTAATGGTGCCCCACTATGGAATAGTCTCCTCCTGAAATTCAAGAGGTGCCTGTAATAACACCTTTTAGGCACCTGTTCCTCAGGCCTTCTCGGTGTGAACCTTAGAATAATAATATTTCTCCCCCTCCCCATTTTTTAAAATTAATGTTTTATTGAATGTTGTTTTATAATGTTTAATGTACTGTTTTATTAAATATTTTATTTTTATTTTAAAGGAAGCTCCAAGATGCTTTGGAACAGGAAGCAGTGTACAAGCATATTAAACAAACTGCAACAATATTGGAGAATGTACCTTCCAGGCCAGTTTAAGCACTGGCATCAGATTTAGAAATATCCACTGGAAACTTTCATGCATCACAGTAAGCCATGAGAGCTGATAGTAGTTCAGTGAATTAATCAACTCACAACTGTATTTACTGCTACTAATGCATGGTATCCCAGAGGCCCTTGAGATGTCAGACTATTAGCAGAGCTTCATCACACAAGCACACTAACTCTTATTGGTTGTGTGGTGGAGAAAAGGGATGGTTCTAAAAATGTAATATCTTGCATGGACTCCTATAGCAGTTTCCTGAATCATGTTTTAAAAATCACATATCAAATCAAATCAAAACTTTATTACAGTCATAATCCAGCATAAAAAAAATCATATAGGTATTAGGAAAGAGCATATTGTTACATAAATCTCCATTAGTAATAGATAAATTTAAATCACAGTGGTAGTTCTGGGAAGGCACATCAAGTTTGCATGACATGACAAGCCATTTTGGGCTTCTCTAGACCAAATATATGCCACTACTTCAGACCATGCTGAATTACAGACATGTGATATATTTCATTTCATATGAATGTGATCACTTATTTTTTCCAATGTATTTATAGGGAGAAAGATTATGACTCAATTTATTCTCTAATTTAATTTTTCCCTATACACTGCAAGAAATAAAGCACCAAGATTACAGAAAGAGTATTATCATTTATTTCTTTAAATTTATTGTCTGCCCAACTCCAGTGGACTCTTATTAATCACAAACTAAGTACAGAAGAAAACTCACCTTTTCTGGCAACTGTGGTACCCTTGAAGAAATTACTGTAGCAGGTGCAGCTTTTTCGCTTTCTCTGTTACCCAGCATTACAGCTACTCTCTCAGCAAGGGCTTCATTAACAAAATGCCTTATCATTTCTGAATCTACTGGGATGCCAGCATCAACAAATAGCTGAAAACCTTCGGTACCTGCTACTTCAACTGGAGATGGATCAGAACACATGCAGAAATTCAACTTTAACGTTGTACATAACAAGATTAGGATCTGAAGAACTTTGAACTATACAAATTTAATAATAAACAAATAAATAAATATTCCTGGTTTTCATTTGTCTCTATCCTCTGCAATCCCAAAGCTGTTTCTGAGACCCAGGGGACTGTCAGGAATGATATGAGATATAATGCAAGGGATGGAGTGATACCCCATTCTCCTTATGCAAGCTTGCACGCTTTTTTGTTTATATCTGGTTCTTTTTGTCTTTAATGCTTAGTTTGCAAAGTTAGTTTTAGATGACTTACCTATGTAAACATTTAATATCCCATAGTTTACTATTTATTTTATTTCATAATAAAGATACACATGTAAAGTGAAATTTTATATTTTGAAAGAGAAAAAATAGAACTTGAGAGGCACTCAGCGAAATGTATTGACAATAACAAACAGATGGACAGTATCGCCATGGGAAGCCCCCTGAGCCCAGTCGTACCAAATTTCTACATGGAACATTTTGAAAAACGGGCTTTAGAAACTGCACCCATTACCCCAACAGTCTGGTTCCGATTTGTGGATGACACCTTCGCAATTTGGAGTC